CATGAAGCACCCGGCCCACCCAGCAGGGCAAATCTCCTCACGATACCGGGTCCATATTCTTGATACTAAACAAAAAGTCAGTACGCATGCGCACAACAGACCTAAGATGTGCATAAGAGACACTCACCTCCGCCTTAGTATGACAGTAAGACTTGAACTCAGGTGTCTGACCAAGCAAACTACCTCCAAACCATGGCCCATGTCTCTGTCGCTTGTGGGAAATGACCTGGACCTCCAGACCACCACTCTTAGCCCCGCCACTTCGGACCTCGCTGGCCTTGATGCGCGCGTCTACTAGGTGCTTGATGTCGCGTTGTAACCTTCGGCCAAAATCCTTGTATAGCGTGCTACCACCGGAGAGAACAATGTTCTTGTACAGACCTCGCCGAACATCAATTGGACTGGATTGGATGACGCCGTCGACGACTACGGGCAGAGGTGTGAGGAAATCGGAGGAGTAGATCTCGGGGTTGAAGAAGATCTCGGGGGCTAAGAAGCGCTCGTAACCAACGTCGACGGATACCTGGCGGCCGCCGGGCTGGGAGACGACGTGCTTCGCGAAACGGCTGCGGTCGCGGTCGAAACGAGAGAATTCCTTGACGATGTCGGGGCAGACGTAACAGTACTCCTCCTTGATCTCTTGAGCCGTCTTCAAGGAGCTGTCGGGCTCGCCTCGGTCACGGAGCAGGGACTGGACGAAGTAGGTGAGATCTCGACCGGCGATGGGTATGGATTTGATGGAGGAGCCGATGACATAACCCTCGGCGACGGGGATGACGTGAGTGACACCATCGCCCGAGTCGATGACAGTACCGGTCAAAGAGCGGTCGGTGACTTTGGTAGACGTCCAGGACGCGGCGAGGGCGAGGACAGCCTGGACGGCGATGTATAGACCGGCGCAGTTGAAGGACTCGAAGAAGATCTCGGCGGTGTTTTCGCGGTTCTCGGGAGGGTTCAGGGGCTGGGTGGTGTCAGTATTGGTGCTGGAACGGTTGCTGTGCAAGGAAGCTCACGGGTTCGGTGAGGAGGAAGTGGTGGTCTTCGGGCTCGACGCGCAAGTATTTGAAGATGGAGTTGGACCAGAATCTTTCCATGTGGTCCTACATGGCCAATTGGTCAGCATCGTAATACCACCCATTGGGAGCCATGTTGTGCAGCATACCCAGTTCTCGATCTGGCCATGCCGGATGGGATAATGCAAACCATAGCCTGGTCTAAAGTCAATCGATGCCGTCATTTCTTCCCACCGAGTATTTGGTGAACATACCCGGGCCATTGGCGGCGGCTACAGCTTCATCACCAATGAAGAAATCCAAGTCTTCGGTACCACGTTTGTTGGAGAGATGGCCAGTCGGACCAGCACCACCGGTCAAGAAAGAGGGCTTGTTGGCCACAGCAGGGCGGCCGGAACCAGTACCGCCGCTACCAGCAGCAGAACTCTTGGTGGATATGGCGGTGGGAAAGACGAAGGAGGGAGAGTCGTTACCGGCGAAACCTATAGAGAGGCGCAAAGAAGCGGACAGTCAGTCTCGAGTCGGGTCGGTCGGGCAAGGGCGGCGGGATCTATCGGTATTGCCGAGGCGATATGCTAGGTTGGGATATATCTGGTCTTACCAAGCTTCGAGAAGCCCGTGCCGCTAGAGTGAGAAGACGAGGGTTAGTCTACGGGAGATGGGTCGGAAAGCTAATCCACATACTTGTCCATGACAACGGCCGGCGTCTGGTTGGCCATGATGAGGGAGTGTAAAAGAGCTGCAGAGGGTATGGGATGTCTACAGCAGGCGGGAGGAGAGAAGGACCGGGAGACGGACAAGGAGGCGACGTCTGCGCCAGCGGTGGTGGTGATGCTGGTGTTTGATGATAGCAGTCGACAGTTGGAGCTTGGGGGGAATGACGCCGCAAGGCAGCCAGCCGACTGTGTGGGATGTGGGTCGGCGGGGTACTTCTCACCTCCCTCACCGGTAACTCACACCTCACCTCACACCTCACACCTCTTAAATCTTTACTCATATCTCTACTCCATATAGTCTTTCCTGCGTTGTGTGAGCACTGTTGATCTTTAGTGACATTTCTATATCTCTCTGCTACTTGAATCTCATTATTATGGTCATTAGAAGCATTGTCCTTGAGTACCTAGGCAAGGGTTCATTTTCCTTGCCTACCTAGCATATCGTCTAAGGTCAGGTTTACGACTCAATTGAACAATAACTCTTCGACCTTTTTATTCAATACTGATTGCCCAGAATTTATGAGAGACTTGGAAACTTGTATATTCTGCTTCCCAGATCATGGACATCTTCGAAAGTCGGCTTTCAGCGTACTTAGGTGAGGTTGTTTTCAAACTTAGACGGGTTGATCCACTATGAGCAGCGCTCCGATCAGGCGACCACCAAACCACAGTTTTCCCAACTCGTGATGCTCATAGTAACTTCAATCTGTTTTTAAGCAGGTCATATAAGTCGATTGTTATAAAGTCGCTTAATGTTACATAACGCTGTTTTTTAATCAGCGTGGTGATCACTTGCTTGATTGATTCTCTTAATCTGCGGCTTCTGACAGTCGCTGCTGCCTTTGCTGGTTCAAGCCTAGGGCGCTGAAGCTGCTGAGGGATCAGGAGAAACCGCGACGAAGGAACGGAAAGGGCGGCGCATGTAGTCACGTTTACGCCAGCTGCGACGCTCCAGTCTACGGCACGAGCGACATCTCGGTATTTGCTATCTTCATGGCCGTTCAATAATTCACCCACCTCGCTTGTCCTATGCTCAATAGCCTTATCTGGTGACCCGATGGCATTATGGGGAGACCCGTCTCTGCCATCTTCATCCATGCTGGCGCTGGCTATCATTCTACAGCAAATGAGCGTGTTCATCTCGAAGCCTGTGCCGAGTGAGTCTGTCGCGGTGATCCACGTCTGGGGCCCACGCTAATTGGTATGAGTAGTGCCGCACGTGCTAGCATCAAGCTGATGAGAAGGGGCGGCTCGGCAGTCGACGCCGTCGAGCTCGCCGTCAAGACTCTCGAAGACAACGAAATCACGAATGCCGGCTTCGGGAGTAACCTCACCATCGAGGGCACCGTCGAGTGTGATGCCACCATTGTCGACCACTACGGACGCAGTGGCGCCTGTGGAGCAGTCCCTAGTAAGCACGGCTTATCCTTCTCATCAAACGCTTGATTTTTGACGAATGGTCTCGGTAGATGTCAGGAACCCAATATGCCTCGCGAAATGGATCCTCCAATGCAGTCTCAATCCTCTGACTCTACGGCGTATCCCTCCGAACCTCCTTGTCGGCGAAGGAGCTAGAGACTTTGCCAAGGACTCTCACCTCCCTGGGCTGACACCCAACGAGGCCCTCGTCTCCAAGACGTCCCGAGATCGCTTCAAACGCTGGCAAGAGGATCTGAGTCGTGCCGGAGATATACGAGCCCGCCCTACGACACCCCCGAGCCAGGAAAGACTAGATCAGGAACGAATGACCGCTCAGGAGGCGCACCCATCTCTGCGAGATCACGCAAATGCCATACTGACGGCAACCTGGAACGAGGGACAGCCCGACTCCCCCGCAGTCGGCTCACGTTGGCAGACTCCAAAATCCGCTTCCCCAGGTATACCCTCTTCTCCGACTAGGGTAACGGTTGACCGTAACCCACTCAGCTTCTTTGGCTCTGCACTTTCCATGAATAAGCACACCCATGGAAAAGCAGTCCCTTCAACGTCACAGAATGCCAGGAAGTCCCGATACAACCCCTATCCTCCCCCTAATCCTAACGGAGGCGACATGAACGCTTCAAATCTCCTGCGTCCGCTGAGGAAGCGGAGTTCGTCGTCTCTTAATCTTCACGATAGCGCCAGTGATGAGCCGGATTCAGACGATGATATTAATGATACCGTAGGAGCAATTGCCATCGACCAAGACGGGTATATTGCCGCGGGCTCTTCATCGGGCGGCATCGGAATGAAGCACCGTGGCCGCGTCGGGCCCGCTGCTCTCGTCGGGATTGGATCCGCCGTCATTCCAGCTTTAGCTGATGACCCAGACGGTATTTGCGTGGCAGCGGTAACAAGTGGAACAGGCGAGCATATGGCAACGACCATGGCGTCGCAACGCTGCGCTGAGCGCCTTTACCAGGGACGCGTTCGTCTGTCTTCTGGTAAAGAACTCGACGAATTCGACGAAACGGCTATTCTGAATTCTTTCATTAAGAATGAATTTCTCAATCACCCAGGTGTGGCCAATTCCTGCAGCACACCCGCCATCGGCGTCATGGCCGTCAAGAAGGGGCCTAATGGATACTACCTCTCCTTTGCACATAATACCGACTCGTTTGCGCTGGCAAGTATGGGCTCGAATGATCGTGAGCCGGCCTGTGTCATGTCCCGTCTTAACGAGGCAACTGGTGATAGGATCTCAGCCGGTGGACACAAAATCGCGCGGTGATTATTTGGAACGAGAAGAATGCGGATGGGGACTAGGATGGAAGCATGACTGGCGGGAAGGTTGCAGTTCTGGATCCTAGTAGTTGATTATCCGCTATGCCTAACAGAACTCCCTATTGATACCCATAGACTCTACGGATAGCCTTAGCATCAGAGTATATATATTAACGTGATGCCTTATATCACTCATCTGAATGAATGGTGCTGAGGAGTGAGTGGACTACACATGTTGATACCAGCTTTGTGCACATCAGCCGTGAGTCAACCAGACCACACTCAGTCTGAGTAACGCACTTGAGTCTAACGAACTACAGCATCCCGATAGTATAGAGTTCGTCTTAGCTAGCCAAATTAAAGATACGTTTGGGTGCTGGGACATGGGGTGGGGAGATATGTAACGGCGTCTGATCGGCGGCATGCGTATCTGAAATTCATCGGCGCTAGTGAAGGATATATACCTTTCGTCTTGAATTTTTGTCTCTCTCTCTCTGTTTAGGGGTCTGTATAGGTTGATGACTTTGACATGCAGTTATCTAAAGCGCCTGACAAGGAGGCAAAAAGTTGACCACGTCGGGGTTCGAACCCGAGGCCTTTCGCGGAGTGAGGGTGGCCCCCCGTGGTGGGGGGCCAAAGCGACGCTCTGCCACTGAGCTACGTGGTCTGTCTTGTGATAAAATCTGCCTTCTACACTATATATGTTGTGTAGTATGCTACCTGTGGTTGCTGGTCTGGATCTTGGTGATTTTATTGTGTTCGTGCAGTGTTTGTCACGAAATGGCCCATGTATTTGGCAACCCACCTGAGGAGAATCGCCTTGCTTTATGAGCATGAAACAAAGGTTTATATGTACATATACCTATGTATATCAACTAGTTATTCGTCGGTCGATTCGGTTGATACCTCAGGTAGAATAATCACATCCCCTTGTGGCGTTATTCATAGCACTTACTTAAGATCCCTCGATTGTTTAGCTCCCACCCTCCGTGAGAGTGTTCTGTTTTCACGGACACATTTGGTCGTGTTCTTATAGCGCGACCTTGGAGAATCAACCTCCATATTACGGCCAAGTCCGCTTCTTGAATAAACGTCCTATCCTGGACCTCATCTTGGTATCATTTTGTAAGCGATCCTGGCTTCTGATCCGTAATAGCGTACACCGAATCTTATCCTTTTCCTCGCCGAGAAAATGTTCACTGAGCTCGACGGTGTGTGTCCACCTTGGAGAAATGAGCGAGGTCCGGTTAGGATACTTTTGCAGGACATCCCCAACTTTCGACGGCAATATGTCGCTTTGCTCCAATGTAGCTGGTAGATCCGCCCAATTGAATAACCCGTAAAGTAGCCATCCATCAGACTGCGCGCACACTAGAGCAACCCCATCTTCATCACCTACAGCCTGGACTTTCCAGCAGCCCCAGAAGTGCCTCCGGCGATATGAAAGCAGTATCGAGTTCCGCAAATCCCAGTCTGTCTCAGGGTGCACGGTGATAGTCTCCTCGTCAAAAGCTTCGAGCTCGAAATCGATCTGTACCGAACCTACGCGACTTGTCATCACCATGTTATCCAAGTCGTGGCTCTCCCGGCTGTGAATGTACTGCGGTTGGGGCAGTCGGAAAGCGAGAGACACGTCGATATCGACGACTGTATCGTAAAGCCAGGGTTTCCTTCGCGCGAAGAGCGAGGGACCATATTGTTCGAGAGATACGAACCGCATGTCTTTCGTGCGCCGCGCGTCCACACAGTCGAGTGGGAGGAAGTAACTTCCTGCTCTCGTCGACATGTTGCGCACGATGCGGATCATGTCTGTCGTGCGCAAACCGCGAGACGTGATGCTGTATTCGCCTCTGCCGTTCCACTCGAGCGCAGGCTTCACTAGCCATTGGCAGGATATGAATTCGAGCGGCGAACTAGCCCATAGACTTCTGAATTGCCGCTTGTCGCCTAGAGGCGCGGTCCAGGCAAAGATGGAGAGGTCGTTGCTAGAGCGAATGATCTCCTCTTGAAGTCTCGTGAACGCTTTTTGGCCCTCGCCGTAGAGGAGTGGCATGTTGATGTCGAAGAGGCCAAGGAGACAGTATGCCATATCCTCTACCCGCCTCGTTTGCCGATTTGCGGCCCATGACATACGGCGCCCGACTAGGACGTCGTTTAGTGAGCCGCCTCGCAGGACTGCCGTGTCGATTCCTGTGATGTATGATAGTATGGGAGCGAGCTCGGCTTTGGACCCGAAGAACTCCCAGTTTGTATCTAGAAACTCGACTTTGGATGGCGCGACCAATTCTTGGAGTGTCCACCCTCGGGAGAACCAACGACATTGCTTGAGACCCTTGTTTATCCTACTCCTCACCTCAACTTCGTTTATCTTCTTTCTCATCTCGAGCTCGCTTATCCCGTTCTTCATCTCAAACTCGCTTACACTGACTCGCTCGCCGTCGGAACAAGCCTTTGTTTGCTCCGCCACAGTCTCCCGTGCTTCGAAACTGAGTATCATTTCAGCGCTGGTGATGTCAAAATCTTCATCCGGTGAGTAATCCGAGAGCCAGGCGTAGCAGACTATCGCGTTACGGTACCATGCGAACATGGAGTTGATCGCCTCGGATAGCTCTGCCGAGGACGTTTTGTCGATGCAGCAGGTGTCTATCCATGCGTACTCTATGCCTTGCTGGAGCGCGCGTGAGCATGTCTGTGTTATCTTGCGGTAGCCGGGGAGTTCCGCTGTGGTTGAGAGATTTGAGAGATCTTGTAGGGACACCTCGCCGTCGCTCCAGGTGTGTGACAACACGGCATACGGTGGGATCCCCTCTATGTATTCTTCTAGAGAAAGGGTACGGCAGTTTATCAGACGCATTGTGATTGCGGCACATCGCTCGTGGGCGCCGTCTTGACTGGTCCGGGTTGGCTAATGCCGGAGGCCTGCATGAGACCAGGTACCGAGCCGTGGCGCGCGGCGTTGACTGGTTCTCGTAGATGGAAAATCTCCCTCATCCAGTGAAAAGGTATTCATCCATCCATCAACTTTTCACGCAAGACTTTCCAGTGCAGTACGTACGAAAGGGAAAATTCATGCATGGGTCTGTCTGTAATAACGTTCCAGGGACTGTATATGACTGCGATGTCGATGATTGATAGGCATCCCGTGATGAGTTCGCAGACCGGGAGGCATCCATTCTCGTCATTTACCCAGGGGTCATGCACCGCCCTACACCCCTGTTCGCCGATCGCGCCAGCGCTGACCTCCCCTATGTGGACGCTTGATGTACGACGTCACCTACAAGAGGATATCAATGTGCCGATGCTATGTTAATTGTCGATATTCATGAAACCCGGCGTAATTCCACTGAAACCGTTGTTGATCGGTTGTGTTCACCGATTTTCCCTCCATTGAATGTCTCTGGACCTACTCGGCGTCTGTATTGAAGACGTGCTCAGGACTCTACTCACTGTTATAAAGTTGCCTTATGCAATCTCTAATATTAAAGTGGGCAGTCACTAAAATAATGCTTAGATTCATGTACAATAAGACTCTTCCTTTCTAACTCATATATTGTGTTATAAAATATGGTCTTAAAACGCGCTGTATAAGTGTATCAAGATAATTAGCATTCTAGAGTATGTTATCACATGACACGCCTGGAGGAAGAGACGAGAAGAGGGAAAGAAGGTTGACATGATTCACTAAGCTGAAAACATAGCTCGTGAGAAACAACTAGTATCAATTGAAGTGCCTCCGGTCGGGAAGTCTCGGCAAAATGCATGGCCGCGGCCCCGGGAAGCCGGACCGGTATGACTCTTCCGGCGTCCGTACGCCTACCTGAAGCCGTTCCGGCTGAACGCCACGACTGCGCTCGCGAAGTAGCAATTGGCGACTGCTAGCTACTATAGCAAATTCCTGAAAGCTTCACTATGGCTCCACTCTCCGATCTCGAGCAAAACTCCCTTGTCCGGCGAGTGATGGACCAGCTCGCAGGCTCCGCGTACGCCTGCTCCAAGTTAACCAAGTTAAGCGGTGGCACAGCCAACTTCCTCTACAGGGGCACACTGAAGCAGCCCCTCGCAGGTGCAAAGACCATCATTGTCAAGGTATCAACCGAATTTGTTGCGATAAATCGCGATTTCCCCCTCGATATCAATCGGTGTTTGTTTGAGATGTCCATGCTAGAGGCACTCGCCGGGTTTTCCAGGACATTCTCAGTCCCGGGGGGCCATGTCATGGTGCAAGCCCCCAAGATTTACTACTTTGACTCGCAAACTTACACACAAATTCTCGAGGATTTCGCTGACGCGGTGGATCTGACTACTGTTCTTGTGTCACCCTCTGTGGCTCATACCCTCCCGGAACAGAGTCCGGAATGTATCGGTCATTCTATCGGCTCCTGGCTCCGGCTGTTTCACACTTGGACGTCAGATCCTTCACAGGCTGGCCTATTGACAGAGGTTGGATCAAACGAGGGCATGCGCAAGCTGAAATGCCTTATAACGTATGACACTTTCATTGAAATCCTCGAACGGCACCCGGAAGTGATTGGAATCCACATGGACACATTGCGGGAAGTCCAGGATGCCATGCAGCAAGAATTCAATCGCCCACCTACCAAACAGAATGACGGAGCACGCGGTCTGATTCACGGAGACTTCTGGGGTGGGAAGTAAGTACTGCTCCGCGTTACTCTTAATCATCTGAAGAATGCGTAAAGATGTGGAAGACACTGATGGAGACTGATACAGCGTCTTGCTCCCGAGCGGCCCGTGGCGGGCATCCGAGGATCAGGCGGATCCATCCAATCTCATCATCATCGATTGGGAAAACGTGCAGTACGGACATCGCGCAGTAGATATTGGCGGTATGTTGGGTGATCTTTACGAACGAAAGCACTTCTTGGGCGTTGAGGAAAGCATACCAATCATGCATGGCTTCATCTGTGGCTACGGTCCCCTGAACTCCGATCTCGCCTATCGTGTCGCCATCCACGCGGGCGTGCAGTTAATATGCTGGTACTACCGCCGCGATCGTAATGCCCCTCTACCTCATCCATTGCCTAAGGTGCTAGCTGCTTTGACGGTGGGAAGAGATCTGGTTGTCAAGGGTTGGACGAAAGACAGGACTTGGCTGCGAAACAGTATAATGGCGCCTATGTTTACTGATGAGAACTTATTGTAGATAGTTGATTTACCAAAATCAAGCGACCAGCAGCTTCATGATTCTGTATTAAACAGGACTTGAACTCGATTACTAAATGGAGTTGGACGTACAGCAGGCAACTTTGTTGAACCACCACCAGCACTCCCAGTCCACATTTCATCCTATTCTCTAGTGTGCACAGCAATTCCTTTCTAAGAAGGACTTTGAAAGGCGCGGTAATTGATCGGCTGTTCGCTGTGTTGATAGCTCTGTCTACATCTTCGGTAAGCTTATTTTAATCGTGGAGACCATTAGCATTGAGTTGCCGTTCGTTCAAGGATGTGATTATGCTTCCCGATAGCCATCGGTCTCTCTGGTGTGATATTCTCATTCTCCAAAAGCGACGTATAATTGCACTCGATCTGTCATAATAGGAATGGTGTCTACTCAGCAAGTCACCGAGATGGAATGATACTGAGCTCAATTCTTCTCAATTTTAGAAATATGATAATAATACAAAGTGATGCAACAAACTTTTCCTA